CATAGCGTGTCACTGGTTACAAACAAGCGTCTACCCATGAGCCTTTGCGTTTTTGAGTGTGTTGTTATTGTCGCTTGGGACTGAATTCCCGCGCGTGCGCAGGTGACGACCCTCCCGCTTTAATAATTATAAAATAGATGTATATGAAATAAAGCTTTAAAATATTACTGAAAGACACAATAATTATGAGTCTGTCCCCTGCAAGGAAACTTCCAATGAAGTTGTTATTTCTAGATATCAACCAACTTTGCAGGGCAGTTATATTTTCTGATGTCAGGTGGTTAAACATTTCTATGTTGCCATTTTAATTTCACTAAATTTTATCATTGACTACGATTACTAACTTGTGATGCGATATTGTTTGATAATATAGAACATCTGTGGACAGCCCCAGAGCTTCTACGTGATCTTAACCGACCTGTGAATGGAACTCATAGAGGAGATATATACAGCTTTGGAATGATCTTACAAGAAATTGTACAACGGCGTGGACCGTTTCCAACTGAAAAGTATATGTTTTATAAAGGTACGTTTGTATGTGCTTTTTTTACTGCTGTGGTTAAAATACCATGATGGGTTACTGGACAATCGCTTGGCGTGTAAGCCCCTGAACTAAGAAAAGTGTGAACAATAGTAGAACATGATTCGTTCTGTAAGCGCCATCTTGGATATATCGCGTCATCGTTCCTTATTTGGAATTTGCATTGCCGAATAAGGAAACATGCATATACGAGTCTGTTTAATAATGATTGTCGCAGGACCATGATGCATATCATTCACAGTAGCATCAGGCATTGGTCGATACGATCATTCTCTTGACAACCTCATAATACGCGTTTATCAACGGGTTTAGACGTCAAGCTTAATTTGCATAAATTAGCATACTGGGATTAGGATTTCTAGAAACGTTGTATTTGACACGCAGTTTTGTAACCATCTCGCACTTCGCGCGACTTCTTCAATTCGCGTATGTTCTTTATTATGATGACATATCACACCCTTGCATAGCCCAGTTTTGTATATCGTTGGTGTAACCTTATATAAATCCGTTCATAGGCAAACCTTTTGGCAGGAGTTGCGAAGAAAGATCCATTCCTGGGCCTGTTTTGACAATTGCTAGAACATTAATTCAATATATAATCCTGGAGTTTCACTGAATGAAATATATGTATACAATAATATTGTATGAAACTGGGCGTGAATTGTCAAATTTTAATAACACCCAATTCTAACTCTTCTCGACCGACAGTAGAACTATTGATCTTCTGGACACAGCCTCAGAGTCGACTCATTTCGTGTTTCCTAAACTAATCAATTGTAACTGTACTATTATTTCAGATATTGTGAATCGTGTCAGAAGTGGAGAAACACCTCCATTTCGCCCTGATATATCTCCCATGTTGTCTGAACCAGAAATAACTGATATGATGCATATCAGTCTATCTGAAGTACCCGAGTTACGACCATGTTGTGACAATATTCGACGTCGTTTGTATCAATTAAACAATGGACAGTAAGTATTTGACATCTGTAATTGTGTATAAAACAATTAAAACAAATATATAGTTAGATACAATATGATATATATCACATGCTTGAAGTGCCACAGCCTTAGCAACGCATCGTGTTCGATGTGGGACCCACGCGACGTATACAACGCGTGTGAATACACTGTTTATACAACATTCTTGCGCGCACTTCCTAGCGGCAGTGGCGCATAAAATATGGCTGACTAAACACTATTTATTCGCATTTCATCATGTAACATTGGAGGACTGAGATATTAACAAGATTTACAACTTTATGTATGCATCAGATTTTTTGAGAGACTATATATATATATTCAATTTACGACCAGTCTGTATACATTGAACAATGTTTTTAGTGACCCAATGGGCCTAGTTATATTGGTTCAAGATCTGTTAACATAAAACACAGGCCGCCCACATGCACATCTTGTTCAAACTTCAGCACTCAGGTCGTGAGCTAACTAATGATGATTCAAATATAAACTCAAACAGACGACACGTATTAATGGTACCTGGTTTAATAAACAGGTCACAACTGTACATGTTACTTGGGTCTACGCTTGTTCACGTTTTGCACACACATGCGTGCGCAGGGTCTGGTTGGTTTGTACCTGAAAAAAAGAATAACGGCGCTATATAAGTGTTCATGTATGTGTTCCTAGTAATAAAACAACCTCCAGGCAAGGTTGTCAAAGCAAATTGCGAACGCCCTACTGATTGTAAAAAACAAACAAATCAAAGTCACAATGCGATACGTTGAACTTACGTTGAACACGATTCGATGTGACATTTTAGATGTAATTGTTGCTGTGAAATCGAAAGTATTGGATCAAGTTTAAGCTGATTATTGTTTTATTTTAGAAAGCCAAACGTACTGGATAACTTGCTTCAGAAAATGGAAAAATATGCTGATAACCTAGAAGAACTCGTGAATGCGCGCACACAGGAGCTGGTTGACGAAAAAAAGAAAACAGACATGCTTCTCTACAGAATGTTACCTCCGTAAGTTTTCCTCATTATCTTCATCTTTGTTTGTTTCATCTTTCAACATTTTAAATATGATCACGTGCACTCACTTTTTTCTACTCATATAAACAATAACTCAATTAATGTATTTCTACCAAGCCAATTAACCCGATTCGTGACGTAATGATTACCTTTGAGTAGCAATAGCGTGCCCACTCACCATCACCAGTGAGATTACTGCAACCCTATCTGGGGAATGGCGAATATAGGTCGGAGATCGTAAAGTCGCGCTCATCAAATGTTCAGTCACGTGAAACCCATTGTCGTAGCGAATTTTCTCGGGATTGCTGAAATACATTCGAATGTTAAAACATACAATACCAAAAAATAAATATGTTTAAATGTGTTTAAAATACAAAATGCAAATTAATTCATAAAATAAACCCAATAAAAATATTCATATTTTCGACTTTTTGAATATGTTGAAAATACGTTTAAAAAATATTTCAAATGCTGCATAATAAAATTAGTTTTTAAATAAAACATGCTGATGTATTTAACACGTGTTTTTAAGACATCAGTTGAGACTTAGGATGTATTGAAAATATATTTCTAACCCATTTACTTTGGTTGGTAATATATCCCAAATACATATTATATAATATTTTGAAATACATTTGATATACGTTTTAATCACATCGTAACAAGAATTTGATGAATTTAAACTATATGTTAAATTGGTGCCTTAGCACCTCTATCATAGTATTTCCGCTACTCTGTATAATTTCCGACACCTTGTGAACATTTGCGATTATATTAGGCTGTAATAGACGTTTTGTTGGTATTTTACTACTAGTATATAAGCGTCTGTTTATCATTATTTGTGCTGGCGAGTAATTCATGCCAGTTATCGACGTGTTAAGATATTTAAGTAAACTTAGGCCATAAATAAATCTGTAACTTTGGCTTTCTTAAGTATTTTGTGACAACGATAACATCTGTTTGTGGATATCTAGGATAAGAAGTTATGTGGAGGGAACTCCCACGTAATTCACCTTGATAGCATATCCGCCATATCGACAGACAATCTCTGGCACGTTGTTCTGTTTTCTCAATTCTCTGATGATTTTCGTGCAGATTCTCCAGTATTTTATTTGTCAGTAATTGAGGGACTATAAGCTTTTCCCCATCTGGGTCCGTCGGTTTCACGAATTGCCTCTTTGTAGGACCAATAGTCGGCTATGTTGTATGGAATCGATTCTTTATTTGCTAACCAACCATAATATAGCATGAGTGCTTGGAGACCCTTAATAAATTGTTCGTTTTCAATCTATTTGCGGTTTGCTACATGTTATCATGCTTATTTCGAGGTCACGTTCACCAGTACCATCACCTTTAACACTGGCTCACTTGTCAATGCATTATTTATTCCTTATAAAGCTTTATCTTGAAGTCGGCCCCAAATGCCATTCCACTTCCTGTTTCAGTATTATGCGCAGTGGCTCTGTGATTCAGAGCATGTTCTGGATGTACACGTTTTATTGTAGAATGCTCAAACCCACATCAATCATACTTTAATTTTTTATCTGACTCTCAAAGGGTAAATGTACTTGGGTTGGGCCTAGTTGCATCTTTTGACCTGCTTCCTATTTCCTATTTGCATGAAGTTATTTTTGTAATGAACAAATCTGACACTGCACGGCATCTTTCTAGAGATTTTGTCAAGTTGAGATTATAAACAGTCTTTTTCGTACTGAACTGCTCTGAATACCATCAACAATTCTGTTTTGAATTAAATTATCATTCAAAGTACCAAAGTCAACAGACTCCCCAGTTTGTTGAATGCAACTGAAGAACTTCGGATCCTTTCTTGTACTGAATATTCTTCAAATTGTTCAATCATTTAACATTGTCGGTGGCTGTGCAAACACGTAGACATTGTAACCCTCTATGGCCTATATTCCGGACTTGATTTTGTCAATTCATTGCTGGATCATGTGGTTCCCAAATAGATTTCAAACCCCATATAATGAATATATACAACAATATGTATAACAATACGTATAACCAATTCATCTCAGTAGTTGACGGGTGGACGACGTCTCCCACATTGAAAATTGTGTTTGAAATATATTTAAAACACATTTTTTTTATATATTTTAAATACGTTTCATATATATGTTTGAAATATATTTTCGAGTTTTTAAGTTGGTAAGGACAATGTTATACCAATTATTTGTGTAAGTAAGTCTTAAAGTGACTAATTGAACCTTTAATTATACCGTTACTGTGCAGAAGCGTTGCAGAGCAGTTGAAGTCAGGCCAGCAAGTACACCCAGAGACGTACGACCAAGTATCCATATTTTTTTCGGATATCGTTGGATTCACTGTCATTTCATCACACAGTACACCCATGCAAGTAAGTAGCGATATAGGGTTACGTGTTGATCAACGTATTTCAGCACGGCTGAAACACCATATTGACATACACTTTTAGAAAAAACCTCTAGTCTAGACACATTTTGGCATCGAACACGACGTAGTGTGACATCTATGACGCTTCAACTTATTGTTATTTCTAGGTAGTGGACCTACTAAACGACCTATATACGCTATTTGATGAGATTATACAACGCTTTGACGTGTACAAGGTATTTTTTACATTTTTACCGTTCTTTATTTAGGTAGGAAATAAACTATTCTGAAAATAATTGTAGTTCGCGGCGCAAACGCATTTTAACACGTGCTACCTCTTGTAATTGTTATAGCAATGATATTCTATAAATGCTAGAAACAAAACGTCCCAATTGCAAAGACTATGAGGTTATTACGTGAATACCTCAAAGTCACACGCAACGTAATATTACCGTAATTGGTATAGTACAGGTGTGATGGTTCAAATACCAAAATGGCAACAGTAACAGAAAGACTTCCCTGGCGGCGATGATAACATACGAACACGGAGCCAACAGATGAGGTTTCAACTGGTACTGGTATTATTGTACTCTGCAAACATCAAGTACAATAACGCGGTAAAACTCCACTACTCCAATGACTAGATACTTAAACTCCAATACAATTCAACGAGATCTCCGATCTGACCTCAGTGCTGAACAACTCCCCTATATATACGACCACTGTCTATAAATAGACCATTACATCAGCATACATAATGAGTCTGGAACTTACTACAAATTTCTAGAATGTTCCATTACCTTCTATTGCCTCCTACTGTGTTCTATTACCTATTCAACCAGTTTCTAAAAAAATCTAGAATATTCCACCCAGACACAGTACGGTTCTAGAACATTCTCAGTGACACGGAAGTGGTAAATAAGTCGTATGCGACACTAAAATTATGCACGAAGACAGTACAGCGGGGGTATTGACCGGATGCGACGGCCTACTGTCCGAGGTATCCTCGTAATAACCTTATTATTATACATCTTTTCCTTCCAAGGATCCGGGCCAAGGACACATCATGAGAATGTTGAAATCCAAAACGTTTAAACAGAATAAGCGAACTTCTTTGTGTGGAGTCCGGTCAAATCCCGGTGGCAGCCATGTTTGTTTTTATTATTCGAGGACGCTTACGCGTGTAATCATTCCATATTTGGAATTCGCATTTTCTTATATGGTAGGATGAAAATACGCCGTAAGATACCACAAACTTACGACACGCTGAAACTTATGGCGTTACGGGGACAGATGTATAATAATGTATGATATCTTTATAGCTATCAGTGGCGGAACGGAGCGCTCATTGTTATTTACAGTCAACACTCTGCCCCCACTACCTTCTTTCTCCCTACATTTTCCCAAAATTCCACGCCTTCTACTACCGTTGCCACGCAGATGTTGCATCAGGTGATAAATCTATGGGCGTGTATTACTTATTTGTTGGACTCAAAATTTAAAAAAACTAGTTGTATTTTCCTCTAAGATAAATGAGCCTCTTAATACGAATGAAAACATTCATAGACGAAAAAGACGAATGTAATGTTCGTATTACGCTGTTTTATCTGAGGTTTTATTTGTATTCGTGTGAGAAAGACAGATGTCTCATGGCGAGGAATTTTAGTCTCGCATTCAACAAGTCAGCTCAAATGCGCATGCGTGAATTATCCCGAGCTGAAAAACATTATTCTTTGCAAAGATACGACTTATGTCCTTTATATTATAAATAAACAAACGAATAAATTAGTTATATATCTTACATGCCAGATCAGAGCGAGTAAAACGGAGATTTCCAGGTTGAAATGAAATCACATAATGGCTTTACTTATATGAATACGTTGTATGGAAAATAAAGCTAATTTTGAACATAGCAGAATCTCAAGGAAATGATACAAAGTAATATATACTTGATTTCATATATTGCGAAGGACTTATAAAATGAGAGTATGCAAGAGTGGGTGTACGGATCATCGAGGCTTGTGGATGACATATCTGTTGACGTATCTGCGTGTATTCCCTAGGGCATGTGAAAAAAATATCTCCTGGCATATGTGCATGGATCATTCAGACCTGTGGATGATATATCAGCTGACATATCTGCGTGGATCGTTTAGGACTGAGATTGATATAACTCCTGATGCATCTGCACGGATCATCCAGGCCCGTGAATGATACATTTGCTAGCATGCACATTATCTGTCATTGCGCCTCATCTTTATACAATTTAGAAGGCATTTACAGATAATCACGTGAAAAAAGGCACTTACGAGAACGAGACCTAGGGGACAATATAGGATACTTATTTTGAATAATTCATGACGCTGTCAGGATTGTGCGTGCCTACAAATGTTAATGCGTTTAATTTTGTTTACGTTCTGCGCGTGTGTGAGTGTGCAGTGACTGCTTGGAAAGAACCGGCTGTTCGCACACGGAGATAAAATAATTACGATGTTCGCTGCTGCAATTATTGTACATACATGTACGTGTTCTTCTTAATAAAACAACGTATGGGCAATGTTATCGCAGCAGATCATACATTCACAGGCTGGTTGATACAAATGCAAAAAGTGCGATAGACCATTGGGCGTACTGAAAGTGACATCACCTACTACATCACTCAGATCATGATACCGTGGCGTTCTCAGAGTTTATATTTGTTTAAACCCTAATTCTGTTAAGAAGAACAAATGGGAAGGGTATTACAACGTGTTATTGCATTGTCTTACTGCTTTAACTCTACAGTCTTGTGCCCGTCTACTACAATTACCAACACGTCTTCTTGAAAACTGCTGGCACAATTGCTCTAATACTATCTATGCAGGTGCCTTCAAAGAACGCCTGTAACATTTATCCATGTCCTGATGCAATGAAGTGTGATAGTGCAAACGTATCACAAAAAACAAAACAATACCCTAAGAGGTATTTATGTTTGAGCTCCCCTAGACAACAGTTAAATTGCTTTATTATAAATAATTTATGTATTGCAAAATGTTATTTATAGTAAATTATTTTGAGATTTCGACATCTCTTTTAAAAGCAAAATTATACATTTCATTATTTAGGTATAGCCTTGCAAATTATGCAGATCTTCAAAAGAATGAATTTCTGAACTTTTCGCGATTATAATGGCACAGCTACAAAACAGCGTAACTACAGCGTAAGACTAAATACTTGGCGCTTTAGGGTGACGAAGAATGCGAATCACAGTTTGTAATTATCCTCATTGAACTCAAACAGCGATCACGATAAATATTTAAGTATACAAAACACAGTAGATGAAAGAGGTTACATCAAGGCGGTCTTCCCACATTATAACGCTGTGTGATAAAGGCTGTTTTTACATAGAGCCTTACATTGATCACCAGTATGTTTTTTTTTCAAAGGTTGAGACTATTGGGGATGCTTATATGGTTGTCTCTGGATTACCAAATCGCAACGGGTTCCGTCACGCGTCTGAGGTTGCTAATATGTCATTGGTCATGCTTCGGGAAATCAGTAATTTTAAGATACCGCACATGCCAGGGGACACTTTACAGCTGCGTATCGGAATACATACTGGCCCATGTGCAGCTGGAGTGGTAGGTCTGTCTATGCCACGCTTTTGTCTCTTTGGCGACACTGTAAACGTAGCATCTCGAATGGAATCCACAGGAGAGGGTAAGTCAGATCTGTTATATAGCAGAGAAATTGAGTATTAATATAAAGACGTTGAACTCTACGACTGTGATTTGTATTGAATGTACAGGGTCAAGGCAAAGGTGTCGCCGACATTATCAACGCACGTTCTTGACTTTCAGAAAGCTTCGGGCTAAAACATGCGGTTATTATCTGAAATCTGCTTCCGTGTACTGCGTTGCATGCACAGCAGTAGCAATGTTTGGTCGGATTTACCACAATTTGAGAAAAGGTCTGTATTTCAATGTGTGAGGCGAAATTCACCAATCGAAAAACGAAAACCAAATATTGCTAGCTCATATTTAGGACGCCTATCAGAGCATTAAGCTCAATAAACGATGTCAAAATCTGTTGGAAGACCGAATGCAGATAATGTCTTTCCCGAGTGTTTCCGAAGATAAACGATGTTATAGAATAGCCATGACAAATCCTCTAGAAAAAAGTCATTGATGTGCATATTTTAAAACTATTAGTTTTGTTTTGCTTGGCATTATAAGAGAACATAATATGATCGGATCAGAAATTCGATATGAATCGGGTTTCTATTCAAATTTGAATGTCGCGATCGATGACCGTCTACTTTAAAGCGCAAAAGTCGTCACGCATGCGTATTCACATTTCATGTTAGTAAATTGAGCTTTGTATGTGACCTATAAAACCTATATCGGACAGGACGCCACGTGGTGGCTTTGCCGTTTTAGAATAACCCTTCCGGTGTGTACGCTTATTTAACAACATCATTTTTCATCATTAGCTCTGAAAATACACTGCAGTAAATGGACGTACAATGTTCTCGGATATACTGGTGGATATAGATGGAAGGAACGTGGGGATGTTGAAGTTCAGGTATGTATTCATTGTTTTTAAATTACAGCAAAAATTACATAATTTGCATTTTTAGTTAAAAAGATGACGTAATTTTTCTAGCTTGATATTCGTTTCTAATTGTTCAACCTGTATATATTTATCTTTTCTCAAGCTACGTAAACTAGGGTGAATATAATTGAAATAAAAACCCCGCATTGTCCAATATTGAGTGATAACAACGCTCGGATGGGTACGTTCGCTTATATAATAGGCTATACTTCGTCTCGCCCATTATTGAGCACATGCCGCACCAACCTTGTTTTCACGCAATAAAGTACATCGCGTCGTCCTGTATACAACGAGTAAACACCAACATTAAACCAAATACTGTCTAATAACACATACACAACAGAGGTATGGATAGTACTTTATCTTGCAAAGCATAATGAAAACATTACACTCCTGACTGAATTGCACTTATCGCTAGGTGGCGTTCTTTAACAAAACATGTTTTCTCATGAGATACGAGCGCAGTCAATTGACAATCTGGTCAGGAAGACGTCCATTGTCACAAAATAGTTAAAATAATTAGTTATTTTGAAATACGTATACCAAACATACTACTGTGTATCCGATGGGTTTTCCGTTGTAATATTTTTCCTGTGATATTATGTGCATATATACATCACTAGCGTCATCATCGTTTTACACCAGGACAGACGCAGTCTTGAGACGCAGTCTAGACAGAGTCTTGGGTCAGCCTTGCAATAGTCTTGGGGACTTTTCCCCAGGGCACTGTGTCTTATAGAGTACTCGACTGACTGACTAAAGACGAGAGTTGAAACGTATTTTGGTGTATGCGTCTTATTTGACCGTAAAGCTTAAGTGACTTTCCCGATCCCGTACCTCAAGGGGACGTGATAGAGAGACGAGAAGATATTCCCCCCTGACACGTGTGGAGAACTCAGAGAAGAAAAAATTCCCTCTGATATTACTGTCACAAGGTTCAGTTCAGAGACGAACCACACAGACATATATTATAATGTTTACATGACTCCCCTTCCGCGAGTTCAATGACTAATTGGCAATTACGCTGTCAGAGATTTGCCTGTGTATATTGTGACAGTTCATGTTGAAACCTTGAACTTATTTCGTTATTAATGTTGAAAATATATAACCACTGTTAAGAGTCATAAAAGTATTGTTGAGCCATGAACCGTTTCAATAGAATTACTGCAAAGGTAATCCATAATATGTTCTGAACCATGCTATGACAGACTAATGCATACTTAATATTGTAAAATGGGTAAATGTTTAAAGTTTTGTCATGTTTGTTGCAATGGTCTTTGATTCTATGGTTATGGATTTCGGGAGTATCAACGTTTTGTGCATTTAGAGCTTGTAAAATGTATCAAGTTGGGAAACCCACCTAACGTCGC